GGCCCTTAAATTAGACATGTGGATCATTGGAACAGAATAGAAGATGCAGAAACAACCCCAGGAACACTCAGCCATCTGATCTTTGACAAAAGGGCCAAAAACAAACTGAAGGAAAAAGAGCCTCTTTAACAAATGGTGCTGGGAAGTTTGGTTATGCACACTGTCTTGGTTATTTTCCTCTCATTGCTGGGACAAAATACCTGATGCCTAAAATTAAGGAAGGAAAGGTTTATTTTGCTTACAGTTTGTGGAGGTTTCAGTCCATACTTGGCAGGTTACAAGGCAGAGTGGCACATGGCAGAGGGCTACAGCTCATGGTGGCAGAACACAGCAAAAGCAACAAGCACAAAAGGGAGGAATGGTGGCAAGCAGCCCTTTCTCTCCCTTACATATGCAAACTCTCCAAACCAGGGCAGGTGTTGCTCTCATACCCATTATCAATCAAACTCTAAAAGCCTGCCCAATGACTGCATGAGGCTTTGGGAGGACACGGAGACACAAACCATAACACACACAGAGAAGGTTAAATCTAGATTCATATCTCTGACCATCATTAAAATAAAATAAAAATGGATCAAAGACCTAGATACTGAAACAGAAAAACTTAATCTTTCAAAAGATAAAATAGGTAGAACTCTTGAAGACAGGCATAGGCAAATAGTTTTTGATCAGAGCCACAACTGCAAGACACAACATCAAGAATCAACAAATGGATCATATCAAATTACAGTGCATCTGAACAGCAAAGGAAACAACCAATAAAGTGCAGAGACAACTTACAGAAAAGCGCAATTGAAATGAACAGACACTTTTCACAGTAAAAGGTACACTTCTATGGCCATAACACCCTGAACGCACCCAATCTCATCAGAGTGAAAGCTACAAATGGCCATAAATAGATGAAAACAAACGTTTAAATTTTCTGGCCATTAGTGAAATGCAAAATAAAACAACTCTGAGATTATTTCTTATCCCAGAAAAAATGCCTATCATCGAGAAATCAAATAGTAACAAATTCTGGTGAGACTGTGAGGAAAAAATAGCTTCACCAGTATTGGTGCAGATGTAAACTATGATAACCACTGTAGAAAAAAACTAAAAATAAAAACTCCGTTTGACCCAGCTATACCTCTTCTGGGTATCTTCCTAAAAGAATTAAAAACATCATATTGTAGTGATACATGCATACTCATGTTTATAGCACATTTTTTTTTTTTTTGATACAGGGTCTCACTATGCAGGTCAGGCTGGCCTCAAGCTCACTTTGTAGCCAAGGCTGGCCTCATACTCATAAAGATCCTCCTGCCTCAGCCTCCCGAGTGCTGGGATTACAAGCATGCACGACCATGCCTGGCTTTAGCAGTACAATTTAAAACAGCTAAATCTTGGAAGTGGCTTATATGTCCATCAGTAGATGAGTGGATAAAGAAAATGTGGTATTGGGGCTGGGGATTTAGCTCAGCGG